GACCTTCTTCCCCCTCCCCCCCCAATGCCTCCATCCACTTTTCTTCGACATATGAACGTTTTTGAGCAAAGTCATGGGTGCTTGATAGTGGTTTCGCCCTCTTTGGTTTTGACCATCTCCTCTATAACTGCTAATCATTTCGAAGTTTTGATTTAGCTCCGTCCACCACGGCGCAAACCTCGCAGAGTTAAAGAGTTGAATTCCTTCTATTGATTCTAACCACTTGTTTGTTAACCATTGTAAACGTTTTTGAATGAAATCATAGAATTTTTAAATTACCTAACATTCGAATGCACGTCCCACCCATCGTAAGCGGAGCTCGCTAAGTTCACAGGTGCTCAGCTTTTCTGGCCTTCAGGCTTTCGTTGGATCGGGCTATGATTTTGTGTTGGAAGTGCCGCACACTGCGAGTGGTTCTCCGTTTCATTCGCCCACCTTTGCTCATTTTTGCCCAGCGCGTTATAAAACCAAGTCAAAGGCACAGTTCACGATAAAAATGGTCTCCGAGATTTTTCTTTAAGATGAACTGGGAGCCTCAAGGGGTGCTTTCAGTGTTCAATGACTGACCGACTGATCGACCGGCCCCCCAACGCAGCGCAGGCAACGTGCTTACAAGCGCGTGACCGTCGTCCGGTGTTGTCAACACGTGGCCAGTGCCGTTGTTGGTCGCTCGTCGGTTACGTCATTGAACTCTTGAAGCCCCCAAGGAAAGCACAAGGGACATTGTCGGGACCAAAAACGGCCTACATAGAACGTAACAAGAGTCCCATAAACGGCTTAGCCGACGTAAATAGTGATAAAGAACCAATAGTAATAAAGATATGAATAATGGCAATGGTCATTACCTGTTATTACTGCACTAGCCATCGCCAAAAAATTTTAGCTGGTGGTGGGCGAGGTGGCGGTTTCGCCAATAAACGTTTCGGTGCGAGTGGTGGAGCGCAGAGAGAAGCGCAGCAGTTTTACTGCGAGGTAAATTATTCGGTTCTATAAAGTTTGCAGTTTGGTGCTTTGAAACCCTGTTCTTATCGTGATCTCATCAGGTGTGCAAGATCTCATGTGCTGGTCAACTTACATACAAGGAACATTTGGAGGGTCAGCGTCACAAGAAGAAAGAAGCTCTGGCAAAAGGAGAGAATAATCCAAGTTTGCCCAAGAGCAAGGTAGTCCCTTCCGCAGTAGTTTGTGATTATGCTTGATATCTTCAAAAATTTTGTTTTACCTTAAGTCAAGGTAATGTGGGTAGCATGGGAACTTAGCGTTTCCGGGGAGGTGAATGTGCACTGATGTCCGGTACTGTGCATTTCGAGTATTTGAGATTTTTGCTTTCACCAAGTTTTTTTTGCAGGGTACAAATCGGTTTCAGATCATCTTATGTTTTTTTAATTAAAAAACAATTTATTGGTGGCGAAAAAGAAGTGGTGTGTATCTCGTAAAAATGTCTTTAGTTTCACATTTTTCCAAATTTCTCTAAAATGCACTTGCTCTCCAACAGCTATCATAATTTGCGAATACAACGGGAACTAATTTTTTTGCTTACCAAATTTTTAATCTTAATTTGGGGTGTAGTGCGGGGCGTGAACAATAACGTTCTTTTGGCCTGGAGCATTGAAATTTGGTGGTAGCACAGGCGGCAATATGGGAGCTGGTGGGATATGGCGCGACTAGATTTCGCCCACTTGGGCATGGCGTCAAAGAAAAAGAAAAATTAATTAGAACATGGGACGTTCAAAGTTGGTAGTAGTACAGACGGCAGCATTAAACATGTTGGTAAGTATTGGGAAGTGATTGAACCGCGTAAGGGATGTAGGGTGTGGAGCGTGCGTAAAATGAGCATAATCTAAGCATCCAGTCGACTTGAAAAAAGGGGGAATGAACCAATTTAGTAAAGCACGCATGAGTCGATCAGGACTCCGCTCAGGACGGGCAAAGGGCTCGGGAAGTGTGTCGGGATTGTGGGCGTGTGTGTATGTGTCTGTATGTATGTGTGTGTGTTTGACCGGGAATCCAGAAATCAACTTCTTCTAAATCAGAGCGTCCAAGTTTGAAAGGGATGTGGGCGACACGGCAAATTTGCACGAAAAAAGGGCATTAGTCGGGCTTTTCGGGAAAAGAAAAATTTTCCGTGGTAATTCGAAGGCGGCGTCAGAGAGAATAAGGTAAAAACCCACGGACATCTCCCTAATGTTTAGAGGAAACCACTTGAGCTTTTTTCCAGTAGTTTTTTCTCTTTTGTTTGCAGGTATCTTTCCGCTGTGATCTCTGCAACGTCACTTGTACAGGCCAGGATACCTATAATGCTCACGTACGCGGCGCTAAGCATCAGAAAACATTAACCCTCTGCAAAAAATTGGGCAAGCCTATACCATCTACGGAACCTACCATCATTCCGCCATCGGAGATGGGTGGTGTCATTCCTCCACCTCCAAGTACCTCTGCTGCAGCTCCTGCCTCAACCGCGAATTCTTCAGTGAAAAGGGTTGGTTATGTTCACTGTTTCAGCTGAGTTTTCTCGAAGACCTTATTTAACTCCATTGTCTCATGAGATAACTTTTAGGTTGCGGGGATCTCTACTGTTAATTTTGTTGGAGGAGCAAAACTTTCATCAACTGCTGGACAGCTCGAAGCAAAAAAGCAACAAGTTATGCACGCGGTAGGCAGTGCCGGTGTGAAATCCGCGGAAGAACCTACTGCGCAAGCAATCAAAGGACAAACAGAAGAGCTGCAGGTATTCTAGCTTTTCCTCAATCGTATCGCTTGCAACTCTTTGATAGCATTAGCATTCTTCTACCAGGCTCTTATTGCCGCTGAGCAAAGTTTGAAGCCAGTCGGTGAAGAATTTGTGGAAGCTCAACGCGACGCAACCGGAAAACTCCTTCAGTATCTCTGCAAGCTGTGCGATTGCAAGTTTAGTGATCCTAATGCGAAAGAAATTCATCTCAAAGGTCGCAGACATCGGCTGCAGTACAAAATGAAGGTCAATCAGCATTATATCATGTCTTTCTGTTACTGTGCTTTATTGAATCTTCTTGCTACTCAACTTAGTCTTCATGAAATGTTTGCGTTTTTAAGGTCGATCCAAATTTGGAGGTAGAAGTTAAACAGGCGACAAACAGAAGAGGAGCTAAATATGAGCGTGGTCGTGGTCCGATAGGAGCAATGTTACCTCGTGGCGGTCCTTTACCACCACCTGCAGGGTAATTTCGAATTTTTTATAGTGTGCATTCGAAACACTGCAGCCTTGTTAAGCGTATTATCTTAAACTAGTCCGATCACCTGGCCCCCTTCGAACTTTCCCTCTTTACATGTGAAGTTGCCTGCCGCCTGGGTCCTTTAAATTCGCAGGTGTTTTACTCCTCTAGGTTGGAGACTTGGACGGGTACGGCCGTCCATTATGTGCTAAAGCTGAGCATCACTTGAGAGTAACATATGAAGCCTTTGATACTGCCCTCGTTCTTGGTTTGCAACAGGCAGGGTAATTTGACAGAACAGAGGCGATGGTCCCCCTCATTTGTTTGAAGACATCTCGATCCATTATCGACGTAAAGACAAATCGAATGTTTTCAGTGTACCTTTACCTCGCAGCATTGGACCATTTGCGCCAGGCGGACCAGGGATGCGTGGTCCATGGTTTGGCAATGGCCCAATTGACGGCCGACGTTTCGAAAGCACAGACGATCGGCACGTTCAGGTCGCCATTGCTCTATTTATTTTGAGATTTCTTTCAGGCCCCGATATTTTGAGCTTTGAGCTATACACTCATTTCAGGCGAAGCATACTTCAATCTATCCAAATGACGACCAACTGACTGTCATTGAAAGTCTTGTGACAGAAACAGAAAAGGCTCTGAAAAAAGTGTCGGATTACTTCAATGAACGGTACGCGATGTCATTTCCGGGTTTTTGTACATGCGTCATATCGAAAATCAGTTATAGTGATCAGCCCGAGACTAAGCCAGTGATCATAAAATCGGCTGCTGAAGAAGGAGTGAAATCCAAGGAAACCGCTACACCAGAAAAGGATCGCCTTCTTAAAGGAGTAATGCGGGTTGGAATGTTATCGAAAGGGTTGCTTCTCAAGGACGATACTGAGGTCAGCCTCCCTTTTTTACTGGAACACTTTGGAAGCTACCATTAAGAATGTATTTAATTACTTTGGTTAAGGTTCATTTGGTTGTGCTCTGTTCGCGTATTCCCGGCTTGTCGTTGTTGAAAGAAGTGGCATCTCTGATACCTGTTCACTATGAGGTTTTCCGACGGTTTCTGAGTCATTGCCTTCACCTCGTGTGTATATCTGATTTTTAAGAAGCCCGAAGGATCGACAGTTGAAATTTCATTGGAGGAGTCAAGCGCATCAATGATTCTTCGTCAGAGTTCTGTACCGATGCAGTGTCGGATCACTTTAACATCTCGCGAGTTTAGAGAGGATGCAACTGGAGGTTAGATTCATTATCAAAGCTCGCTTTATTTCTATTTTTTGTTATGGGTAATTTCAGTTTCAGGATTAATCGTGTTCGGCTTTGAGTACTGTGTGTTGCTTGTCGTTGCAGTGTTGTCTATATTGCTTAGCAAATTGATTCCCCGAATGTTTGAATTATAGAAAATAATTTAGCGAGTCACAGTCCTGCATCAACTGCAAAATAGTTTGCTGCTTTCAGCTGAACTAATATCGTTTTTTTAAATGTAGGAATGTGACAAATAAATATACTACAGTAGCAACGGGAGCCCCATTTAATTATTGGTATTAAAGGACAGAAAGAGGAACTTCAAAGGGTTTGAATGATGTAAAGGGGTCACTATGATTTCCATATGATGTTGACGAACATGTCAATGCGGAAGACAGAATTAATTTTATTTCACCGGGTTTTTTTTATTGAGCGTATCTGGTTTTCGATCAATTGACCAACACGCGAGTGTTTTAAGTTCCTGTTGCTTGAAGTGCTAAACACTTTCCTATAAATTCTTTGGTCCCTTTACTTATTGTTAGTGTAAGAGCAGGCAAGACACTTTCACGATTTAAAAATGAGTTTTCTCATTCTTCTGAAAACAATTCGTCCAAATAAGTTTTCAACATTTTCTTCTTCCATTATCTCAAAGGATACAGATTTGTCTGAATACTTCTTGCCCGCAGCTGCAATATGAATCGTTGACGCAGCATCTGAGTACTGATCCGCGTGCCACAAAGCGGTTTGCCCTTTTGCATGCATTGAAGTAGGTATAAAAACGTGGCTCAGCGGTAGTTACAACAAAGCGGCCGATCCCAGCTCTAATAACAACCCTGTCAACCGCTCAGTACTTTCAGTTTGATAGTACCCGAGTTGCTCCGCAATCATCCACTATATACATTCGTGCTGCATCAACGCTGAGTCCAGCTGCGTCTATACTCAAACAACTTACGCTCGAGTGACGTTTTCAATGTAATCAACCCTTACCATTCGTGTCCACCGATGCACACAACCGATAATGGTTGTCACACTATCGGTCCAAGCATCATTACCCTAGATAAGAAGCGTTCTTTCTGTCTTTGTCTGCCTACAAGTTGTATATCACGAAATTCGGTATAATCAGAAGAAGCTCGTGGGAAGGGGCCGGTAGGTATTGGGTGAGCATAGACAAGTGAAATTCAAGTGAGGACTATTAGACGGCGCATTCCAGGGTCGGGAAAAATAGATCGAGATTAGAAAACGTGGATAGGTTATATATAACTGGTGAATGGAGTTGGTCCACCGAAGTGCCTTTGTAGGCCTATTGATGATCTATTACCGTGACTCGGTTGTGAAAGCATTTACATGTGCTGCTGCAAGGCTTCGGTCAAGAAAGTTTGCTGTTATTCCGTTCTGCTCCTTACTTTTTAATTTCGGCTGTGCGGTGTAAACTTTAAACTGATTTTACATTAACTTTATTTGCTGAGAGATTTTTTCGTAGTAATTCCCTGTTAACGTGGTCTACATAATATAATCTTCGGTCGATGAGAGTCTGTAGATAGTATAATTGGCTTTGAACTTGCTCAGCTACGCAGGAATTTGCACTTAGATCTCTTTCATCTCATTCGTCTTACAACTTACCTCCTTTGTCCATTTTGCACCTCTTAGATCACTTGGAAACAAGCAATGATGTTTTGCTTTCGCCATTTCCATTTCAGTTCATGTCCCACCCTCTGCAGGTATGTAGCTCCGCTTATATCACACAAGCCTTAATCCCCTTTCCAGATGCCCGCCAGAACCAAACTTTGTCCGTTTTCAATGCTTCTTCTGGTGATACCCAATTTCGTGGCTTATATACACATGCAGAGCCTGCATTTGTAGAGAAAATGTCGATAATGCCTTTTTTATGCGCCTTAAGGAGAGAAATTTGCCATGCCGCTTCTCCTTGCGCTATTTTCTGAAACATTTTTAATGTTGCACATTTGTTGTTATAACGTAAAACCAGTCGTGCATGGTGTACGCTCAGTGGGTAATGAGTGTAGCTTGTTTGAAGACCTTTAAGAGCTTGAGCATGGCTTGCGAAAATCCATATGTGTCCTTTTTAGTTTCATTTCGCTGTAAACTGCGTCAGTCATGTTTTATGTTCCATTTGGAACGTATGCGTAACGTGCGTCCGGAGAATGTTTGTTGTTGTGTGGGAAAACTGTCATTATTGTTATTACTTTGTTCCATGTTTTAACATTTCATAGTGTACCGTTGCATTTCCATATACGATGTCGGCGGTGATACCTTCACGGAATGTTATTCAACCGAGAATTGAGCAACGTTCTTACGTTAAGTATTCAGGGGAGTGAAAGATGGTCTACGAAGCGATTTTCAATAATTCCCACCAGCGTCTGATATAACTGTTGCTCAATTATAAAAAANAAAAAATTCAAAGTAGGAATGAAAGACGCTGGTTCAGTGTTTGTTTTCCTATCAGTTTTTCGTAGGAGTAATCAAGATAATTTGTATCTGTTGAGACCATCTTTCATGCAGCGGGTTGCGTTTTACAGACGCAGCGCCTCTCCCGCCCCCTGGAGATGCTCTAGACAAAGAGGCTTGCCTCAAAGCACTGGCTCAGCTACGCCACGCTAAGTGGTTCCAGGTTTGTTGCTCGTCACCTTCTTAAAAATCATTTGCTGGCTTTTTTGGTGAATGTCTTTACATAATGTATCGGTGACAAGCTAAACCTTGGGTCTCGAAAGTTAATCGTTTTCATTTCAATCTGGTACAATCCATGTTTGTTTTGTGTTTCGCAGAAATTGAAACCACTTTGCGAAGAACAAGGGCTTTGGTGCATTCATTTGAGGAGAGTACCTGACGTTGACGTTTGAATTATTGTTTCATACCAGCGTGATTTTGTTAGGATGTCTTGTTGTTGAAAATTCTTTAAAGTGTTCGTACATCATAATTTTAGAAGACAATGACCTTATTATGCTGATGTACGACACAGTTTAGTATGCAGTTCGTAGCTCAAAGGTCAATTTTGAGTTCATTCGAAGTGCAGTCGAAACTGTAAATACCATTTATTGGGTTGTTATGAACTCCCAAACAGCTTAACACGTTGACGACAAGAGCGTTTTTCATTTGCGCGCCCACGGGACGAGACCGTTTGAAGGCGCTGACTAATCGTCGGTTACCATTGGCAGTCTCATCCCACGGGACAGACACCTATTGAATTTGCTGTATTCATGAGCAATAAGATTCTATTTGTAAAACAAGTAGAAACTCCTGGAAACAAAAAAAACTTGTATTCTGTTAAAATTTGGGTGAGTTTTCCAGAATCATGGGCTTTTTAGACCATCTCGGTGTATGAGGCTTTGAGTCGTGAACATTCATAGAAGGCACTATTTTAACGTTTGGC